CAGAGAGCCTGGGACTGGATGACACACACACCCTCCACACTGGTTCCAGAAAGGTCATTCCCAGTCTTCTCCACTGCTCGTGCCCACACCAAGACCCCCTAGCATCTGGCTACAGCTACCTCTCCCCCACCCCGTGCCCAGGAGGTTCCCCCTCCTGGATTGCCCTCTCCTCGAGCTGGGAAAGTCTCCCAGACTCTGATATGCCACATCACCCAGGCAGCCCCTAAAGAAGGGCCTGGGTCTGACCCATCTGAGGCCTAGAACCTGGCACTGTGAGGCTTCTGGGCTGCCCTCTGAAGCTCAGGGCTCTCACCTTCAGTCTGGCCAGGTGCTGCGCCACTTAGCAGGGCACCAAGACTCCATCCAGAGCAGTGACTTCGCACCCAGCTCAGACTATCTGGTGAGCCACACCACCTCTGCCCATGCCCCACACTATGACAGTACCAGCACCCACTTTCCCACTTGGGACTGAGCAGTGGTTAGAATTCTAGACCTTGACTAGATGACTTGGCTCTTCTGAGCCTGAGCCCTCATCTGTAAGATGGGGATTCAGCAGGGCTTGGTGCCTGCTTTCTGAGTCTGACCAGCCTAGAAACTGGGAGGGTGGACATGGGTCCATGCTGGCCCATCCTTATGGCAGCTGTCTGCAGGCCACTGGTTCCTGGGACTCTACCATTCGCATCTGGGACCTTCGGACAGGGACCCCAGCGATCTTCCACCAGGAGCTGGAGGGTCACAGTGGCAATGTCAGCTGCCTGTGCTACTCAACATCTGGCCTGCTGGTGAGCTGGGCTGCCTGGGTTCTAGGCTGGTCCCTTGCTGGCAGCAAGACCCTTGGAGGGTCATGGGCCATTTGGGGGCAGTGAACATGCAGGCCTCAAACAGCTATCTGCTGTCTAGGCATCCGGCTCCTGGGACAAGACCATCCACATCTGGAAGCCCTCGACTAGAAGCCTGCTTATCCAGCTCAAGGGTCACGCCACCTGGGTGAAGAGCATAGCTTTCTCCCCAGATGGGTTGCAGCTGGCCAGCGCGGGCTACTCCCCAATGGTAACCCTACCCCACCAGGCTCCTCCTCCTGGCAAACTCCTACCCTCACATTGGGCCTACTAGAGTCCTCAGCCCTGTCCAGGAAGGACCACATCCCTGTGCCCTGAACACGAAGGTGCCAGCCACTAAAGTCTGTGCTAGCCCAAACGTAACACTTGTAGGATTTAAATAGCTTCAGGGGGAAGGAAATTGCACTGCACTGCACTTTTGCATCAGATATTATGGCAGGCATCTTAAATATACCTCAAAAACAAAACCCAGTCCAAAGATGAAGATGCTGGCTAGGACTCACCCCCAAGGTGATTTAAAAGTTGCTTGTGTTGTGAGGCCTCCCTTTCTGTTTGTTTTTATTTCCAGATCAAAGTCTGGGACTGCAACACAGGAATGTGCATTGAAACCCTGAAGGTAAGGCCTGTGGCTGTAGCATCCAAGGGAGCAGTGGAAGGTGTACCAGGAAGCTGGGCTCAGGCAGGACTTGCATCCTCAGAGCCCAACACTGTTCTTGGCAGGGAGCCCTGGATGTGGCCTACGCTTGCACCTTCACCCCAGATGGGAAACTCTTATTGGTGTCTGGAGCTGTTGATTAGGCAAGTTGCCAAGTCCCCCGCAAGATCAACCACCCAGAGCCTCTAGTGTAACATCGCCACACAAGGCTCTCAAACCTCATGCCCCTGCCTCTCCCTGCCCAGGACGCTTGGGGCCCGGAGAAAGCAGAGTCAGGGCCATTCCATGCCACAGGCCCAAAGTAACCATAACCGAGCACCCAGCAGATCCTTGTCATGGCCCCACAACAACCCATCTCTCCAGCATGGTTAGTTAAAACAACTGCAAACACAAAGCAAGTCAGCCAGTTTGTGCTTTATTGACGCCACGATGCTCAGGCCTTGACCGCGTACTTCCGTAGGGGGTATAGCCGCTCCTTCCGCTGCTGCTTCTTGGTCTTCAGGTTCTCTTCATGCTTGTTGAGCCGGCGGCGCATGGCGCGTGTTTTCTTGGGCCGCAGATCCAGGGGCTTGTACTTCTTGCCCTGGGTGATGGGAGAGCAGGGGAAATCTGAGGACCAGGGCTTAGGAGCTACTGCAATAGCTAAGCAAGCCCCAGAGATTGGAACTAGGTGTTGAGATGGCGCTGGGAAGACCTGAGAGGTAACTGAGGAAGGTACATGGCTGGGCTGGGGAGGTTCATTTGTAGACATGAGTGTGAGGAGCTGTATGACATCCAGCCCAGTAGGGGACTGTCACCATGGGACCGGGGCAGGCCACACTTCTTGCTTACTAGTTCATACAATGCCCCCAAATTCAAGGTTGGGGGGGGGGGGGAATCATCCCCATTAAAAAAAAAAAGTATGTTGAGTTACAGAGTCAAAAAGCAAGTGAACTTGTCAGAATCTCATGAAAACTGTGACAGAACTGGGATTTGCACCTAAATCAACCAACTCCCTACACAGTGTTCCCTCCAGCCGAATTCCTGCCATGGAGTCAACATCACATCCAAGTAAGGGGCATGTGGTTTAAGTTATGCAAGCTGATGCATATGGTGATAGGAGTGAGGGAGAGGTTGCACCCTAAGCTGGTACTGGGTGAATCTGGAGTGTCTGCCACGTACCCATGGGTGTCCCCTGTAATTATGTTCCCAT